TTTTTGAGGCGAAATACCCAAAAAGAAGTTTGTAAAAAATGAATCCGCCTCAACAATATAGAACTTATCTTTAACTTTGCTTATGTTGCTTGCTCCCGGGTTCTCCATTCAGGGTTACCGATTTATTGAAACTAAAACCAATCTGATACATCAATAATTAATAGTCGTTTGTCTGTTGCGAGTAAATAAAATGCGCCTGATGCGGAAGAAGCCAGAACTTTTGTTCTTTTTTCTTCGCATAGACGACACTCGATTGTATAAATAGCTACGTGAAATTTGAAGGCAATCAGAGCGGAGGACGGTTCTTCAGAATATAATAATTGTTTGGATGAGGTGTTTTGAGTTCAGTGAATTATTTACGCTTAATCTGAACCAGCTCGAACTTTGGTTTCTCTTCTGCAGATAGAAGACACTTGAGACTACAAACACTGGAAGTTTCTACGAACGCAGATGGAAGAATGATTTTTCCGGAATCCATAAACTTCTCGTCTCTTACTGGGTTTTTCCATTGGTTTCCATTGGCAGTTGATAGTGGAAGTGAACTAAAAAGCTAACAAACCTGCGGGTGGTATGATTTTGCAGTAATCGATGAACTTTTCTAGCAAACCTTTGGAATCTTCTTAAGCAAGATTATTTTTCTGTCCAAATGGCTAGTTCAAATAACATTCTCTTCGTCTAATTGCCTTTCCTTGCACACTTGCTTTATGCCCATCTTCTTAGCCTGAAGCCACAATTTAGATTTGTTTTAAGGGCCATTTACTAATAATGTATGAATAAACGATGTACTAATTTTTGTTTTACACTTTGACTGGGGCCAGGAAGGAAAAGAATATGATAAGTTTTAACAAAGTTTATATTAAGCAACGCTTGCTACGCAAAAATCGCATGATTTTTTAGATAAAATAACTTTTTTGCAGCTTCGAATTATGGGCTTCTTTTTCCAAAAATATTTCCCTGAACTGAAAAAGCGAAAGTTTATAATAATTTATTTGGAAAACTCTTCGAAACTGGGGTTTCTTCACTTTTAGGTCAATATTTCTAAGCAACCCTGTCTAAACAGAAGAAACGCGTTTTCCCTAACGTTTTACTGTAAAATACTGGCAAACTGAATCTTTTATGCAAAAAAAGCGGTTGATTTTACAAGAAAACTCGTCGACTTTCTTTGGACTCAGTTCTGTTGTAGTTGTTTGAACAAACAAGGAAAACGTTACTCAGAAAACATGTTGACGACCTTTTTCTTGTGTGTGAGACGAATCGATTGAAAGAAGTCACTATAATACATATAACAAAAAACATAAACATTTAAAGTGAATAAGGTTTAAGGTGCTGCAACCAAGGGCCAAGGGCTCAGATGGGTAGTGGATTTTTTTTTAACCTTTAAAGCTCCTCATTACGTGGACGCTGAACCATATATTGCTCAGCGCCGGATGGGCACCAGATAGGAAGAATGGCCCTTTCGTGTTCACCGTATTCCGCGTTCAGGACAAGTTAAGGACAAAATGCATTAACTCGGATGGACGGGCCGGCATCTGCGAATTATTCAAACGTGAACACACACATACTCGCGTGCAAAGGGCGGATTAAAGGGCTCTAGGGGGGCAGATGAACCTGGCCGACATGGGGCCTAATTTGCCTCGAGCCCTTCTGGGGGGAAAATCTGCTGGTTAATGTACCGTTCTATTTATCGCCAGGTTTTTCGACAGATTTGCCGAAAACCGATCTTCGTTATTAGACAATGTTATTTCAACTTTTTCGCTGGTTCGGTTTTTGTTTTCAATAGAAAGCGCACAATGTTTGCCAGATAGACCGTAA